TCTCAAGGTTTAGAGGCTTAGAGATAAACCCTCGGTCCAGGGCCCCCGACCGAGCCAAACGTGGCGCAGAGCTGGGCGAGGTAAGCCTGGCATCCCGCAACTTCAATTCCTCAACCCGGAAATCTCGGTTCAAAAGCAGGCCATGAGCATCTTAGGGCTGAAAGGATGAAGGGGTTTTGAGGGCGTACAGAACCCTTCACACGAAATCCCAAAACACAGGACCTCTGCGCCATGAACCGCTCAAAGCACAGCGCTGGGCACCTTGAAGGGAAAGCCAAACGAGGTGGTACCTGCAAGCACGCTGGCAATCTGGAGCTTCGGCTTTTCTGCTTTCTTCTGGGTGCCTCAAATAGGGTGTGCATGTACGAGCTTGGGGGTTTGGGTTTACATTGGTTGAGCGTTTGTAAACATTGATTTCCAAGGGTTCTGGGTTTCAATTCTCAGGGCTGTAGATCCCTAATTACATAAAGAACGCTGGATTGGGGGTGGGGGGGGGGTACTTGTGGGCTCGTCGCCTGGGGCGATCAGTGGCGTGGGCAGCGGCACAAAGACGTGCTCTGCGAGGCCCAGGAGAGCCAGGTTTCCTGAAGAGGAGTAGCTTCTGGGGGCTTGGTGGTCGGGACCTTCGCTTCATGAAGCTCAGGATGACACAAACCAAGTTTGGGCATCTAGGCGTCCACGATCGTCCGATTTGTGGAGCTTGGCTCAAGCTCCTAGCGCTGACTTTACAAGTATCCTTTTTGAGGTATACGTGTACGACGCGACGCTTAGACGGTGCTGTCTGTTTCAAGACCAACATCGTGAGCATCATGAGGTCCTGTGAGTTGAAAAGAGCTCAGGTGAGATACACTGGCCTGCGCCACAAGGGCCTGAATAGAAAGCAATGAACTCCAAACTGCTGGTCTCCTCCCCTCACCGCCCCCCCCAACACTCCCATCGTCTCCTGTAAGGGTACTGGCGGCAAACATCAGGTTCCTCGCGGAGAGCAATCGGCAAACTGCCTGCGCAAAAGCAGAGCTTCGACTGCTCCAAAAAAGGGCTGCGGATGAAAGTGGCTAAAAAGTACCCTTTATGCTGAAACCTCTAATGAACCTGACAAAATCACATAGGGTCTGCAGAGCCCAGAGATGGGGTGGAGTGTTTTGAAGCTTTGGGAAGTCGTTCCCAACCAGGATCTCTTGTGCGGTTTGGGCTTCCATTATGTTGTCGGGTACCGTAGCTCGCTGTCGCGCTGTTGTAAAACAAAGCCGGCCTGGAACAGGCACCGGAAGGCCTCAAAACACTTCAGAAGGTGCTGGTCAAGCTATAAGACTTCCCGGAAAGCGCGACTGTAGCAAAACAATTTGAGGGTTACGAAGGTGAACCTTCCGAAGCCTCGAAACCCCAAAACCCCCAACACCCCCCTGGAGGGCGGCCCCCTGCCTCCTCGAAGGAGCCACCGACCCATGAGCCGGTGAGCCTCTGCATCTTGAGTTCAGGGTTTAGGGTTTAGGGTTCAGGGTTTAGGGTTTAGGGTTTGGGGTATAGGGTTTAGGGTATAGGTTTAAGGGTTCTTGGGCCTTGGATTTAAGAGGCTTTGGGTCTATTGGGTTTCGGGATCAGGAGTTTAAGGTTTAGGGTATCAGGGCTTAGGAACCTAGGATTTATGGCATGGTAGCACGCCGGCAGCCTCTCCGCGTAGGTCGACTGCAGGTGTGCCAAGCACGGGTTGCGGTCATCCTCCGCCACGATCCTCAAGGGAATCCTGAACCCTACACCCCTCAAGCCCTTAAGCCCTCGAATGCTAGAACGCTAAACCCCTCAAACCCTGTTCAATCCCAGAACCACACATCTCCTAAAACTTCCAATGCCTTACTGGACGGCTTCAGAAACTGAAGAGAAAGGTTTGGGCTTCGGAGTTCACAGCTTCGGGTTCCGGGGCTACAGGAACTACAGGGGCTACCTGGATTTTCCTGTGAGTAGGGGGGGGGAGGGGGTTCCTGAAATTGTGTCCTCTCAAGGGTTTTTTGAAGCTTTGGGGGCTTGGGGGACTTGGGGGGCTGCTCCCGGGCGTCTCGAGCTCTTGGAAACGGCCAGAGTGGAGAAGGTGGTCGTAGACCGCGCACGGGGGCTGGGCATGGTCCTTCAGCCACTGGGTTTCGGGTTTAGGTTCCGGGTTTAGGGTTTAGGGGGTCCTTGCTTCGTGTGCTTAGGGTTCAAAATTTAGGGCTGAGAAGGCCTTAGCTGCAAGGTAACGACGCCCCCGAACCTCTGCTGACAGGTTCAATGACGTCTGAAAGGATTTCATGAACCTCCAAGCAATGACACGGGATCAAGCCTTAAAGTGTTGGGGTATGGGAGGGCTTCGTGTCCACTAAGCCCAAGTATGTTCACCTCATGAGAGCAACATCCCACTTTCTTCTTTTTAGGGGGTTGGTATCCAAGTATCCGGCGACAGAGCAGGGATGGTATCTCCACCCCGGAGGTGCACAGTGAGCCGCGGTACCGGTGAGGGGGAGAGGGGACACGCTGTCCTAAGGAGGGCTCGCGAGATCTGCCGCGTTAGGTTCGGATTTTGGGAATTTCGGGCTTCAGGGTTGGGGAACTAGAGGAAGCTCTAGGAGTTGGGTTGGGGCTTGTTCTGTTCTGTTTTGGGTCGGGGGTGAAGTTCAGGCTCTTGGGGCTTAAGCCCTTGACCCTGCGAGCATTGACACCTTCAGAGCAGCAGACCCGTTTTGGCGGGGGTCTTTGCGTTTTCGGACCAAGGCTTCGGGGACTGATGCTTGTGGTTTGGTGGAGGTTGCCGAAATGAAATTGCAAGAGTCTGTGGAGCGCTTCAAAGCTGTGCCGAAGCCTATCACATTGACCGCAGCAGGTGTCCCTGAACATAAACCCAGGCCCTACACGCCAAACCTCAAGCCCTGAAACCCCAACCTTCCCAACACCCTAAAGCTCAAACATGCTTCATCCCCTACTTGATGCCCTCCGCCCTGCGCGAAAGGAAAGCGAAAAAAATGTGCTAGGGTTTAGGGTCTTCTTTGAAGCGGAAAAGGCGCCGATTCAGCAACGGATGTAGCACCGCTTGCAGAAGCCTGGTGCGGGATTTAGGATCTAGGGAACCAACTTCAAGCCCTAAAATTTTAAAACCCTTAAACTTCAACACCCTGAGGCCCCAAACCCTTCAAGGGTCTTACACGATTTCGCTTGTTTAGGAGTGGCTCACATTCCGTTTGTTAGCGACAAAAAAACCACAAGCGGTGGCAGCCCAAGCTGGAGCTGTCCAGCGCAAGGACCCAGCTTCCGTCGTCAAGGCTTTGTTGGTCGCACGCGGCGACAGCAAGAGCTGCACGTGCACGTGCTTCGATGCGGTCGCAGATTTCAACCCCAGGACCTAGGACCTAGGAGAAGAGGGGCAGCCTTCGGCCCGGCCAAGGGTGAGCCACATGAAGCTCAGCCAGGAACATCCTCAAGGATCAACCCAGGCGGGAACTACTCAAAACCCTGAAAAACCAAACCAGACCCAAGCTGCAGCATGTGATGGCAGGGAGGGATCAAGAAAGGATTCCGTACAATGTAGCCAGATGCCAAGGAACAGGTGCAAGGTGGATCCAGACAAAGTTTGCCCACCAGCCAGGTCAAGAATTCAGCTACGCAAGTCCTACTAAGCAAATCCTTGTACAGATACCCCCAACAAGAATCAGCAGGGCAGTGCACCTAGCGATTAGATCGAGAGCATGAAATGCTGGAGTTGCCCACAAACAAGGGAGGCATAAGTTCTGCGCGGGTCTGCCGGATGGAGTACGGAAAATAGCCAGGGTCGGAGTCCAAGTCCGCGGGTTCCCGTGTCACTTCCGTGTCACTCCCGGGTCACTCGTGCACGGTGGGCCCGGTGCCCGCCAAGCACTTTTCAGCAGTCAGCCGTGGCGGTCACACAGCGGCGATGGCACACCGCCGTCAAGTTAGCGGACGCCAGCCAGGAAAGGCAAGAAAGATGCCCGGAGGGAGAATGCCCAGGATGTAGGGGCGTGCGCCTTTAGAATCTTTAATTTGAGAGAAAACAGCCATGTTGTTCGGCGAACTCAGGTGATATGCCGAAAGCGTGAATCAAGGTGGAGGGCTGTGTTGAGGATCTTGTGACATCCGAGCCCTATGGATCCCCTTGGTCAACTCATGCGGGCCTCCGGCGCAGAGGCAGCGGCAGCTTCGAGCTGGGGAAGCCACCCTCTCAAAGCCCAGGCTTGCTTGTGTTTTGAGGGCTCTTGTTTATGGCTTTTCCAGGGTTGTTCAGGGCGGGGTTCTGGGCTTCTTGGCTTTGCGTGGTTTGGGAGGCGGGTTTCAAGTGGGAGTGGGGTTATGGGTTTTTGGGCTCACGGCTCAAAAAAGGCACTCTATAGGGTTTCTGGGGTATAAATGCGAAACCCCAAAGGCCTCTGGAGTGCCTCTGAAGAACCAGAAAAACCCTCCCTACTGGGATCACAAACTTCAAGGAATCGCCAAAACCCCCACAAGAAGCCTCAAACGGAAAAAGTCCTCCACGGTGCCCAGCGCACTTCGGGCCCAGGTCGTGGTGGCCGAGACGCTCTCCGTTTGGCCCACGGTGCCCATGCCTGATCACGCGGGCTCGGGGGGTTGGGTAGCATCTCTTGGGGTACTTACGGCTTCTGAGTGTGTAGGGGCTTTCATGGCTCTTGACTACAAACAAATCATTCCCTTCGTCGAAGTTCCGAACTCCGGGCGTGACTCAACCCTCTTCCCGCATCCCTACACCCTCCAGGGTCTCCCACACCCTGTGCCCTCCCCCGTCTTTTGCTTTTTTCCGAAGGTGCTCCTATTCGGCGACCGCGTCAATTTTTCCCTGCTGTGCTACTTTCATCTGCTTTCCCTGAGAGAATAAGCCTGAAGCAGCACACATGACAAAGACGTTCAGCAGCACATTGCTCAGATTATGGCTCCGTTCCTTGCAAGCAGTGCTTGAAGCAGGGCACCGGCAGTGGGCAGTGTGGCAGCAGCCTTCGAGGCGTCTAAGAGGCCAGCCGGTAGAGTCTTGGTGCAGTCACTCGCTCCCAGGTCCATTCCTCTTGCGGCAGCCGTCTCAAGCAGCTCAGGGACACGAAGCCACGAGGCGGCTGACCCTTCCCTAGCGTGAAGATGGACCTCCGCTTGGGGCCTCCGGGGAAGATCACCGGCACCCAAACTTTCCCTTTTGGTAGGGTAGGCGAGAAAGGCGTGTCCCGTAGGTCCAGGACAACTTTGGATCCTGGCTCGGCATAGCAGCTGAAGAGCGTGACCTGCCCGAGGCCGTTGGTGATCTCGGTCCAGAAAAGCTGGGTGCCTCCAACCTCCCCGGTCTCTGGGAGCACCACCTCCAGGTGCACCTTCAGCGCGCCCCCAACTATGGCAAACCTCGCTTCAATAACTGCTCCGGCTGTCACCATGAAAGTAGATTGGGGGGTCAGACATTTGGGGCCTGAGGATACGCCTTCGAGAGCATCTACAGACGTGGATCTGCGATACAGCTATCCTCCCTAAGGCGGTCTTCTAGTACAACCGAGTCCCCCAAGCCCCTGAGCCATTGAGGGCCTGGTAGGAGGTCTCGTCGCCCTCCTCACGCACCTCCCCGGCCTCGCCCAAAGCCTCAGCCAGACCGTTCTGCGTTGTGGCCACATTGGGGTGGTCAGCGCAACTGGGGTCCTCCTCGTGCGCTCTCACCTGGTTATAGGTCGGTGCGAGGCGCACCAGCTTCAGCGGCCCAACAAGCGGCTGATCCTCGGGTAGCAAGGCGTCATCGGCCAGCAATTGTTGCAGTTCGGGGTCGATGCCCAAAACGACTTCCAGCTGGGCCTTCACATCTTTCGCCAGGCTGTGTACCGGCAGTGTCAGGGTCGCCAATAGCTCGCCAGTGGTGGCAGAAAAGATCTCCAGCCTCTGCTCAGGCGCTTCAGCTGTCTCTGTCGGTGCTGCGGCCTCAGCTTCCTCGGCTTCCTGTGGCTCCGCAGACACTTTGGGCTTCGCGCAGCAGCGCATGGCGTACGTGGGCCCAGGGCCCTAGACTTCGCCAGAAAGAGAAGTTGAGCACTTCAGGAGGAACATCTCGAAACATCTCGAAACAACCACCACACGCCTGCCCACTCTAACCTGTCAAGGCCCCACAGCACCCACAAAGACCCCCAAAGCCCAAGGGCGCCTTGAGCTGCTCGCCGCAGCCTCTGCAGGGCAGCCACCTAAGAGGAGGGGATGGACTCGCTGAGGTTTGGGTCTGGGTGCTAGGTCCTGGGTTTGCCAAGGGTTACCGGGGGGGGGAGGGGGGGAGAAAATCTTCAAAGGAGGCTTGGGAGGAATGAGCTCGGCTGAGCTTGGGGTCAAGCTCGGGTTCGGAACTTCCGCTAGCCGAGCTTCCAGCGACAGCTTCCAAAGACCGTCGATGAAATCAGTGGCTTAGGAAGCTTAGGAGTTGAGGAATATGGTCAATTCTGAAAAAAAGCCGGTGGGTTGCCCATGAAGTGATCACAAGTCATGGAACTGACCGTACAGGGTTTGGTGAAGTCGGATATTTCTGGGGAAGCCAGGCACGGGGCCCCCCCCCCAGAACCCGAAGCCATGGCTTGAACCTCAAAAGGGAAACCTTAACCCGCAAAGCAAGTAGATTCTCCTGACACTCCTGTCACAACCATAACGAGCGTGCCAGCACGAAAGCATACCCGTGCGAGCGTCTAAGCAGCCGCTACGGAACTGATGTGAGCAGCCATAGGCAGCCGTGCGACAACGGCCACATCACGACGAATGGAATCTGGGACGGCCAAAGGGACCTGGAAAGGCTGAAGCCCTCTTAGTTGAGTGCTTTGAGGCATTGCGTGGACAGAAAGCGTCGTCCTGGGCATGTTGCAACACCTACCCAACTATTCTACAGCTCCTATTGCGACGCTGAGACAGGCACCACAATGGCAGTCGCAACGGCTCCTGGTACTGCTCCCCCGTGAGCATTTCCATGCATATTCTATTTTTGCATCGATGCCTAAGCACTTCCCCCCCCCCCAACCCTTGTGAACGCCAACCTTCCAAACCCGCTACAAGACGTTCACCCTCTTGAAACCCTTAACCCACGAAAGCTAAACCCCTGCCAAGCTCCAAACCTAAGCCTGAAAAACCTCAACCGGCAACCGCTCAACCCCAAAAACAACCCTAAACCCTAACCCTAAACCCCACCTCCACGAGTTGGCCGAAGAGGTTGGGCAGCATCTCCCCGGGCCGCTCGAAGATATGGTGCCCGGGGCCCAGGACCACCCCTGAGCGCAAGAGAAGCTTAACGGCCGGAGAATTAAACTAGGGTTTTTTTGTTTTTTTGGGGGAGTTTTCTTTGTTTTTTGCTTTAGGGTCTAGGGTTTAGGGTTTAGGGTTTAGGGTTTAGAGTTTAGATTTTAGGGTTTAGGGTTTAGGGTTTAGGGTTTAGGGTTTACCAGTAGCAAGGACAAAAAACAAAAAAAAACAAAAAACAAAAAACAAAAATCCTAAAGAAATAGACCACCTTAAAAGGGCCCTGCTGAGGCTTTGCGGGGTTTTGGGGGCTCCAGAAGGCTTTAGATGGCTTTAAGGCCGAAAGGGTCGAAGAAGCTCAGCAAGAAGCTCATATTATGCGAATCGGGGTCAGGTTTCTCCACGGGTCTCTCCAAAAAAACCCCCCGGCCCCCCCCGCGCCCCCCCCCGGCCCCCCCAAAAAAAACAATGAAGGAACTGGTTGCACATGCAGTGTGCAAACTCTTTCAGGGAACTTCCGAAACTATGCGAGATGCAGCTGGCTTCACGTCCTGTACTGACGCTTGTAAAGCCAGAAGCATAGCAAAATTCAGTCTTGCTTTCCAGACAGCAGGTGGCTGAGGAAGCTTGACAACTCCTCCTCTGTTGTCGTCGCAAGAATGTCTACCGAGTTGAAGCAAGTGTGGAATGCCAGCTTGCCATGGCGCAGACTTTCATGGGCCGCGTCATGCTCATGCACGGCCAGTGCGAAAGGTGGCAGCAGTTCCTGAAACCCACCTGCTGGAGGTGTTGGCTGTCCCGTGACCTCAGCATCGTACAATGTGCGAAAGCCCAACATAACGCAACATAACCTAACATAAAATGACAGAACATGGCAAAAGACAAGACAAGGTAGTTTTATCAATGTAATGTTCTGCGATGTGAAATACATAATGCCATGGAAAAGTAAGGCAATGTAAGATTCACAACATGTTTTGTAACATCTTGGCCCCGCGGCCTCCATCAACAGCACCTGTAGCTGCTCCTGCGTGCACCGCATGAGGGTGCGCCAAAACATCTTCACAACAGGGTGATTGCTGTTGCCGTTTGGGTAGTTCGTGTGAGCACGCCAATCCACGACGTTGACGGTGTCGCTTCCAGCAAGCATCGCCTGAACCTCCTCGGCGGTGAAGTGCTTGCCCAAGATGTCCATCTGGAGGCGCGTCCGGAAGCCATCACGAAACCTTGCTTGTTAGTATCCCTTTTTTTGCGTTGCGGTTAGGATTCGGGGTACCCCCGCAGAGCATCCTGCTTAGTGGCCTTTCGAACTCCCAAACTGAGAAAGCATACTCGACGGCCCAGCATCGCTTCCATGACTGGCAGGACCTGCATCATTTGGACCCGAGAAAACATCTCTCTGAGGATGTCTTGAAGTCCGGTCCCGTGTCTAAGCATGCTAGAACAGGAAACTGCCAGCTGAAGTGACAACATTTCCAGTACAGTAAGCGTACCTCAAACCACTGCAGCCAAAGCAAGGGCCATGATTTGGGCCATGCTTCGCAAGCATCCTCATGACAAGAAGCAGACCTCGAAGCAAACCTCTACAAGAAAGGCATACATCCTCAAGTCAGGAGGCGTAGTCATTCTCCAACAGCTTCTCGGCGACCTGCTTGCAGTTCTGCCTGCTGCGCTTCCACGGATTTGGGGCGTCGGTCGCGATCTGGATCGTTCCTGTCAAAGCTTTCAAGGGGCTCTGCTGACGCAGGGATGGGCCCGATGGCCGCAAGTGTAGTTCCGTCGTGTTCATCTGGTTTCGAATTTCTCGTCTATCTCCTGTAGTTTCTCAAAAATTTCCGCCATGCCCTCCTCACTGAAGAATCACACGAGTCATGTCTCAAGGTCATTGGAAACCAACCCTGAATTAAAAGCTGTCCTTATGGGGACGCCTATTTCCTGCCTGTGTTTCCTGGACCTACGATTTCTCAGCCAAGATCACTTTTCGCGGTTCCTGGATATGGCTTATTGGTTTCGGGCTTCTTTTCTTACAGGGCAGCCCTGCCTAAACTTTGTGTCCTTGATTGCTCGCCAGGTCCGTAGCGAAAAGAAGAGGATTCTAAACACAAGGAACCTCAAAAGAATCGACATACAAAGGCCAAGGCTCCCTTGTCCAGAATGTCTTCTTCCAAGGAGCACGTGTTGAACAAGTCCTCTGCTCCATCCAGGTGTTGGTCCATCATCTGCTTCGAAAGGCTTGGACGCATCTCCTCCAAGTCTTCAAGGGAAATGGCCAGCTCGTGCTCGTCAACCTCTGCCTTTAAGGCTTGCTTTGGGGTTTTTTTGGTATGACTACATGCAGAGGGCGTGAGCGGTACAATGATTTGACAGAAGCGTCAACTCAACATGTCAAGCGGCTGTGTATGACATGCAATGCAATTCATACGCGATGCACACGCACATCCTCTGCATGCCGTGTTCAACTTTCTTGGCAAAAACCAATCAAGCAGTGATGCGCCCCCGCCTCCGCGCGCTGCTCCCGCAGCAGGAACTTAATCAGAGCCTTGCTCAGCCTCAAGAAGGGCAGGCCCTTCATGAAGAACATTGCCACGAGGCTGCCAAGGTTGCGGTAATCCTCCTCTACCCGCTCTGGGGTGTACTCATCATGTTTTAGGAATTGGAAAAAGCGTGCCTCATAGTTGAGGTGATAGGTCGGGCGGGCAGCATCCTTGTCCCACAGCCTCATGAAGGGCCATGCCCTGTCAGAGTCAGCATCTGGAGCTAGCCGAACTGCCTTTCCGACCAGGGTACAGAAATGTTTTGTGAGCCCATTCATATCAATCCTGTCTGTTGTGAAGCTGGACGGGCCATCAAAACTCACATCAAAGTTCCTGGAAGAGCTGTCGTGCCCGACCTGCTGAAGGGCTAAGTCCAGCATGGTGTGACCGCCCTCCGGCACTGTGATGGTCAGGGTGGTGGGCTCCCCAGCCATGAGCCACGCTTTGAAAATTAACTTCCTGAGGCGCAGGTTCCAAGAGTACAGCTGCTGAATGGCAATCATGGACATGCCTGCAAGCCAGAGGCCCACCACGTGCGTCAGAATCTTCAGCGGTATCATCAAGGTGTTCGACACGCTCCCAATGCGGCAGGCGCACGCGCAGCCCGTGACTGTCATCTCCAGGGTCAGAAAGGTTGTGATGCCGCAGAGCAGCGCGGTGGACCTCAACTCTGTGTCGTCCCGCAGAGAGTAGGAGGTCAGGGCCACAGCCACCAAGATGACACGAGGCACCCACTGCAGGCCGGCTGCGCAGAGGTAGAGCAGCCACGTGAGAAGGCTCAGAGCCAGTGCGGTGCCAGCCCCCGCCATTGCCCATCCAAGGAGTGTCCGCCTCCTTTTCATCGGAAGCTTACGCAACGAAGTCGCCAGGCAATTGAAGTTTACTGTCATAATGACAAACGGCATGAAGACTTGCTGAAGTGTCTGATCCACCAATTCTTCGGAAGGCAATATCTGACCGAGTTCGGACAGTTTGTTGATGTAGTTCTCTCGCAAGCGTTCATCCAAACACAAGGCTGCTGCAAGACCACCTACGGCCAAGGCCTCTAGAGGAATAATTAGGTAAAGCGGGAGGACCCACATCATGGCGACTGTAGCTGCCACGATGCCAAACACGCGCATCTTCATCCTCCGGAGCTCCACACCCACGTGCTGAACCAAGCGCAGCAAGTCAGCCCGCTGCTCAGAGTTGGCAGAGTGCAATGGAAAGTTCAGCAAGAACCCAACATGAAGGGCAAGCATCACTGCCGCAGAGGACTCCAGGCGGAAGATGAGGGTCCAGGGTAGAACTAGGGGAAGCCATGCCAGAAAAAGCCAAGTCCTGGGCCCCGTGATGCTAGAGCTGTGGTCCAGCTGCTGCATGATTCCTCTGACGCAGGGGTGTCTTTGCAAAGTTGCGATCCACTGCTGACTCCTGTCAGAAACCTGTGCTGCAAGGGCTCCAAGGGGTGGGTACTGCGCAGCGGACGCGTTCCAAACGCCAGTGATCACTGGAGCCAGGCAGCTTCGCGTCTCCACAACCAGAAACCCAAAGCACACAGCCAAGTACAGCTCCGGCAACAGGCGAGCAACGAAGATGCCGGCCAAGAAGGGCAGAAGGGACCGGGTGAGGAGGTTCAGCGGGGTGCTCTCGAGCACCAGTCCAATCATCACAAGCCACATTCCGAAGCCTTGAATCGCATTACCGGCTCTCGACACCTCAGCCAAGAAAGCCATCAGAAGCTCCCACAGCGAGCCCGGCGAGCCCTCCATGATTTCTGGCACTCTCGATCTCGGAGGTTCTTGAGAACTGGAAGCTGCAGCGGGCTAAGGGGGCCTCAGGAATCCGCTCCTACATGTGTGTAGTGTGTACGTACAAGTATGCAATGTGTGTAGCAACTTGTGTGCGTGCATGCGTGCGTGCGTGCACGCGTGCGTGGGTGTCTCGTCGAAAATGAATTGACAAGATGCCCATTTCACATGAATGTGAGTGCGGCATGGAACGACGAAACACGCATGTCAATTGAGGGCACAGCCTTTTGAATCCCTTTGATACATTGCAGGGCTGTGACATGCGAAAACCTTTTTCGCCAAAACGATGTTGACACAGCGGCGCGGGATGAATACCCCGCCGTGCCCAGCAAGCTCGCGAGGAGCATCTGGCAACACACTGCACAAAGAAAAGGCCAGCCCCCCTTAAAAGTTATGTTCCATCGATGTGCCATGTATTCCCCTACGTCATGCCGAGGTCTGAACAGGATTCAGGGGATTCTCCGCTTCGTCGTGACACTGGGATCCCAAGATTCAGCTACCATGGAAGTTACCAACACCTGGCAAAAGGGCACCCCTTGCAACCCTCCACCTTGGCCGGCCATCTGCACAGCCAGAGCCATGGCATTCGCCAAGTCCAGGAATAAATTCCCCAAGCGCCCCTGTCGCGGTGCAGCGTGGCTCAGGGCTTGTTCCCTATTCAAAAGGTTGATCCAATAGTTTAAGCTGTTAAGCTACTTGCCCGAGCTGGCACCCTGAAACTCAAAGTGGGTTGATGACTAACCCTAAAACCCTACACACGAAAGCCTTAACCACCCAAAAAGCAAGCAAACTTTAAGCCCAGCCTGCACTTTGGGGCTCAAGGCTCCTAGGCTTCGGGATTGAGGAGTTACAGGTAGGGTCTCGGAGATTCGGAGGTTTGGTTGAGGGTTCCACCTTCCCCGCAATAACCTGGGTTCAAGTTGAAGGGCTTACATGTCAGCCTATGCCATCTTTGCCCGACATGGCGGGGCTCTAGCTCCAAGCGCAAGCCCCAGAGCCTGAACCCGAAAGCCCTAAAGACCCAAAACACCAGTTGATTCATCCCTGGACCCCAAAACCCCAACCCCTAAAACAAGGAAGCCCCAAATCCCCTAAACTCGCAGGCCTGAACCCGCACGTGGATCCAGGTTTCTTGCGGCAGGCTCCTCGTCCTTTGGTGGACCCGCTGGGCACAGGGTTGTTATGGGCTTAGGGTTTTAGGGTTGAGGGTGCTAGGGTTTGGGTTTAGGGCTTGGGGCGCTAGGGGTTTTACTGCTTTAGGGTGTGAGGAGTTAAGCTTTAAGATTCCAGGGCTTCTGCCCAAATCAGTGCCCAAGGCGCAGTGGCTGAGCATAGGAAGCGTTGGCATGCAGCGTGCGCGGGGAGGGCCTCTGCTGCTTTCTTGGAGCACTTGGGGCATAGGCCGCATCGCCGATACGGTATCGGTTTTGAAGGGCTTAGGGCTTTTGAAGGTCTAGAAGCTGCTTGTAGGGTTGTGTCTCTGTCTCCAGTGCTTCCGCTGCTTTGGCACCGGATCAGGCTCCCCCAAGTTTAGCCCAGATACACAAAGAACTTAAGCTCTCAGGCGGCAAACCCGAAAAAAGTACCGAAAGACGAACAGCGATACTAAAGCCGAAGCCTAAACCATGCGCTTGCCCAGGGGCAGGGTTTCGAGCACCTGCCAGGACTCAGGAGTCTGGCTAAGGTGGGGGTACAGAGGCTCAACTCTGAATCTGTGGTTCAGGCGGTTCAGGGAACACTCAGCCTCGCTGGGGTCTCAGAAGGCTCTCAAGAAGCCAGCGTCGCAACAGAGCACCTCCTTCGCTTCAAAGGTCCATGCCAGCCATAACACCTTGGCTGGCTTTGGGTCTTCGGGTTTAGGGATTTTTCAAGGAAGCTACTGCTAAATCAAAAACCCCAAACTCAGACCAGTTGCCACCGGCCCGGCAGCCACATCCGCAGCGGTGCACGCAGGAGTGGGGAGGCACAGGTGAACGAAGCGCCTGAAGGAAGAAGTTGTGGAGCTCTTAGGGGTGGGGTACCTTCTGGCACCTGTAGAAATCGAGATTGCCATGGTCCCCGTGGCACCTTAGCTAGCCAACCAACTACGCAATGAAAACCTTCCTGCAAGTGGTATGGGTCCGGGGTTTTCAGGTTGAAGGTTGTAAGTTGGGGTTTGGAGAGATCTGATCTGAGTTTGGGAGGACACCAGGCACGAAGCAACAATGGGAACGTCCCCACCACCAAATCATGCGAGATTGCCCTGGGATGGAAAGTTCGCTTGGAAATTTGGAAGCGACGCCACCACCCTCTACTGATACTCCATAGAGTTGATAGCCTCCCTGGTTTAGCCCTGAAGTGTTGCCCTGAAGCTCTGAACCCTAAAACTCCAGAACCGCAGAACCGCAATGCCCCAAGCCAATCCTTGATCAATCCTGCATCTGTTTAAGTGCACCAAGAACTCACCTCTCGTCTCCAACACTCCAAAACTGAATGTTCTACAGCTTTCGCAAACTGAACCACTGCTAACCCAAAGCCCCGCATCAAGATAAAGCGAACCATACGAGGCAACCGATCCCAAAGCACAGAGCCGGCTAAACGGGACGTGCCTGGCGGGGAAGGCGCAGACAAGGCCTCGCACGGGCATCTGTCGCTCCCTGATCTTGGTTTTGCACTGCAAGCCCGGATCTTGGATGAAGCTACTGGGGTCATGATTCTCTCCAGCCCCCCCCCCCCCAATTCTAGCATTTCGAAGAATGCGAGCTTCTTGGCGCCTTTCCAGGCTAGGTGTAGCCACCTAAGGAAATTACTTGGATTACTTTTGCCAGAGCTTCCGAGGGGCGCTTCGTCAGCTCGCCAGTTGGGCGCCAGAGCCTGGGTTGCACATCATTTCCTCGAGTTCCCCTGCCGTTTGGGAGTAGTATGAAGGAGTTCGGGGTTTGCGAATCAGGATCTCAGGGATACAGGGCTTCAACGTTTTGCTTTATTCCCGGCGAAGGGCGGGGGACGGAAATTCAAAGAAGTCAGAACACAAATCCGAAACTCACATCCGGTTCAGGCACTCGCGCCGCAAACGCCCGCATCCGCGCAGGTCATGGATGTAGCGGGGCACGTCGAGTAAGACCTTATGGTATGAGTTCAGGGCCCACATGGGCTTAACATCCCATCGGCTACCAAGAACTGACGGCAGATCCCAGCTTTGGCACATCCTACGAAGGTCATTCCTGAATGCAATTCCCTCATTACGGTGACAGAAAAAGTTTAGGTCCACCTCAGGCTTCTGGAAGGGGAAGGCTTGGCCAACCCTAAACAAAGTTATGCCGTCATGGACCCCAAACAGACAGCAGACTAGTTCAACTCCATTTCAAAAAGCTCCCCAAGAGCATGCCAAGAGCACCCACTGCAATACCAAATCCAAGAGCACTCGAAAATGACGTGCAAGGCAAATCCCCTTAGACTGAACGCGCGAAGCGAACCCAGGCCCGACATGCATGAATGCACACGCCTGACGCATTTTCGCGATACCGAGCGATTCAAGATCCCAGAGCCCACGCCCGCATGTCGCGGGCAAGCATGCGCCAACAGAGACAAAGCTGTGACCGTGAAAACTAAACCCTTAAACCCCTGAGCTCCTAAACCCTGAATTCGGGTTCTTTTTTTCGGCTCATGTTCGCTGCCAAGGGCGCTGGCCACAACTCCCAAGACCCCAAGGTCCTCAGGCTCCCGTTAGGGCTTGGAAGGCATTTAGGATCTTAAGGTTTTAAGACTTTCTTTGGCGGGGGATATGGGGAGGGGATTTTTTGCAACTTAAGGATGCAGGGTTTGGATGGACGAAGGTCGTCAGTGGGAAAAGTGGCACCGCTGATCTTCGACAGAATCAGGATCCCGTAAGTATGACACGCAATCCTCGCTTAGCGTAGTCTTCGTTTAACTTGAAAGACTTGAAAGAGGACGGACCTACCTTAGCCCCAGCTGCCACACATCAACCTAGCAGGACTCGGCTTGGACGCACATCAATCGCCGAAATCAAGCAAGTCCCAACCTGATCTATCACAGTGTGACATGAGGCTTCCGAGTTTTCCTTAAGCAAGCTTACCTCTAGCCACTAGCCCCGGTCACTGAAATGTCTCATCCGCTCAACCATCACCATCCCCAAACCCTAAAGTCCAAACACCAGCATCCCCAAAGCTTCCACAGCCGGGCGACGAGCAGTTCGCCAACGCCTCATCCCAGGAGTTGCCAGCCGGGCAAGTCTCCGACAGTGGACTTGAGGGGGGTTTGTAGGAATTGTAGGGTTTTCAGGGTCAGTAATTTCCGGTCTTAGCGCGGACACCGAGCGTTCACATGGGTGTCGAGTCTGAAGGTTTAGAGCCGTCAGCCCTGCGTTACGCTGAGGTTTTCGGATTTGAGCTTCAACGCTTCTTCAAGTCAGGGCTCCGTGATTGTAGGGCTTGGGCTGCTTAGGCTCCCGGAGACTCATCTGAGTGTCTACAAACCTTGGGTACGATGCGTAGACAGCAAGAAGCCGTGCCCCGCTTTCGCATCATTCACGATCTGCACTGCATGTGCAGTCTGACATCCTGCGTGGTAGCGCAGTTGAGGATGCTTTGCCCTTCTCGAAAAGCCGCGTAGAAGCCAAACGTAGACAAACCTTCAAGGTCGTCTTCCTGCATTCTCAAACCTTTCACCTAAACCTCCTGCGACCCTGAAACCCTCCAACGCCCTCTTGAAACAAGGACCCAACCTCAGGACCCTAAACCCTAGAACCCTAAAAATCTAGAGAAGCCTCCGTTGCAACACCCGAGCTCCCTCAAGCCCTGAGCCCCCCCCCCCCCACGGCCTCGCTGGCCTCCGGCAGCGGCGCTTCAACGTTCGGAGGCTCCTGGAAGCGCCCCAAGGACCAAGCCTCCCGAGGCTTCCGGGTGGTGTGGGTTTTTGGAGGGTTTGGGGGAGGGGTCCAGGATATAGGGGCTTGCTGTAGG